TATCAATACATTCTCCAACATTCAAAATATCTGGATATTTTCACATAATTGTTTCATGTACAATTCTATATATTGAAAAATTTTGCTTCGTAGTAACACTATATTATTTTAGAAACTTCGCATTTGGTATTCCTTCTTTTATGGCAGGTAGTGCTATTTCAGTGAAGAAAACCAAATACAATTAAATATAACGTTTCGTTAAACAATTTTTTTATATAATTATATATAATAATATATAATGGTGTGTAATTATATGACGTCATGTATGAAGTTTATCCATATATAAAAATATATGATTATATACGAAATGGTGATACAATCATATATAATTATGTGTAATTATACATATAATTATATATTTTTATATCTGAATATATTCCATATATAATTATATATGAAACATTTTTTAACGGGATTTATTAAAAATATTAACAATTAATCAAAGAATTTTACCTCGTATAATGTGACAATAATATTATTTAAGTGACATGCATAATATTATTTAAACAGAATGCATTATTATCGTATGCCAGGGTCGTCGAATAGTTCGAAGTGATTTCTAAATAAAAGTACTACCGATTTCTCTATAATAGATAATGTAAGTGGCATTACGACAAAATATGGAACCAGTCTCAGAGTCTTTCCATGGTCTTTGGGAAGAAAAATAATTATATTTCATCCATGTACATGAGCTAAATAGCCATGTACTAAGAAGTTGGTTTACGGTGTTCATATTTTCCTTCAATTTATCCACCGACGTAGCAGTTATAAGTAATGGACAGTTTTGATGTCGCACTGCTCTTAAAAATCCTTCCCCTATGTGTTCACGATAAAGTTCTGCTTGAAATGCTATAATTACATTTGGTCGCTTATATAACTGACTGTTTACATAATCATGATACGGCATGCCATGAGTTTCCAAAAATAACCTCTGCCCATAAGTGACCTTGCACGTAAGACAAGCGTCAATGTTACCACGTTCATTTTGTAAGCCTGGCCCTATCAATATAATTATTAGTTCCTTCATTTGATGTAAAAGGTGCAGGATAAGTTCCCAAGCCGGTAAATAGGATCTTTCCAAAGAGCACATGGTTATTATATGAATAACACAGATTCCCTTCTGTACGTTACGACGATATAACGAATATGTTTTCTGCATCGCATAATATAATGTACCTTGGTCCTGATGCGTAATCGGAATAGACATAATCTTCAAGAAGTCAATCATCGGTCCTGTTACTAATATTTGTTTTTCCTGGCACAAATTCCTTAATAAGTGAATTCATGCTAGTAATAAGTTCGTTCTCACCAGGAAACACACGGAATTTTAGTTTAATGGAGTAACTATTTAAATATCCGATGTCTAGATTCAGACTTAGCTGCAACGGAAAACAGTAATCTTCATAATCACTTTCAAACATTGATGCATGATCAACGCGGTAATTGCGACAATAGTACCTTTGGCAAGTGCGTAAGTAGGTCTGTTGATGACAAGCATAACACGATTTTGCGAACTTTATCATCTCCTCTTCGTACGTCTCTAGCTTACATGATATTTGTTGCCCAATTGAACGCAGAAGTACTTTTCTCGACTGAAACCACTCGTTCGGATTTAATTTACGAATGCGCCATTGGGGATCCTTTTCTAAATTCTTCTTTACAGTTCTGCAGATCTGTTCGTGCTCCGGATGATGCAACATTTTGTGCTCCATGCTGCAGTACGAGATCGTATAATATTGATCGCATGTTATCAAATTGCCAGTATCTTTTTCCTTACAAACGTGGCATAAGTTCGGATTGAAAAACTTGTTATAACGATCCGGCGTTAACGGTCCATCATACCGCAGCAATTCACCTTCTATTTTAAACATGCCGAAATTTTGATGTAATTAACGATTATGAAAACGTGTTTTTTTTAAATATCAGTTTAGAATTAATCCGCGAGATTAACTGTCGACACGTTAGCCGAAATAATAAGATGCTCTACAGATAATATACATGTATATTCTACGTGATTGCTCGAAAGACACTAAAGCATGTTTTTATATGTTTTTATAAGCGCTCCTATGTCTCGAGATATGTTGATGGCTGAGTTGTGTTTGGAAATATAGCGACCTGCGAATATCCGTTACTAAGTAGAATGTCGCGGTTAAATATATATGAAATTCCTAACGAACTGACTTTATTATGTATAACTTATATCGTATAAATAAAAACGCTGGGTGAAGAGGGGAAAAATGCAATTTTTAATATTGTCTTTATGAATGAAATTAATTAACTTAATGAATATTTGTTTCGTATTCAATTATCCTTTAAAATACGCTATATTTATATTACGATTTTTTTCCGACATTAAATTGGTTTAATTTTTAACTTTCCTAATAATTTTTCAATAATTATTCAGTTATACAATATGCATATAAATCTGTACATATCATGAAGATAATATATATTAATGTCAACTGTCATATTCGAAACGTCCTTTGGTATTTCCTTCCCGTTACTTTATGTACAAATCTATACGTTGAAAATGCTTGCTTCTTAGTAACTTATACATACTATTTGTGTAACTTTATATGCATCTGGTATCCTTTTTTTATTGTAGATAATATCATTTGGGAAGAGAAAAAAACATAAATATATAATGAAATGTATTTTTTATTAAAAATATTCATAATTAGACATCGAAGCAATTTATCTCATATAATGTGACAATAATATTATTCAAGTAACATTATCATCACACTTAGCGGACGGTTGAATTACTTACTCTCTATGTGCTCTACAATGTCCTCTATGTGCTTTATAAGGATTATCCGCATATCTAAAATAGATATTATAAAAAGCATTACGATAATGTGTGGAACCTGTTAAATAATCTCTCCATGGTCTGAAGGAAGAAAAATTATTAAAGAATATCCCTAAAGATGAACCAAATGCCGATAAATTAAGCAGTCGGTCAATGGTATCCATATTCTTCTGCAAATTATTCTGCGACGTACTGGTTATAAGTAATGTTTGGTCTTGATGCTTCACTGCTTTTAAAATTTCCTCCGCTTTTGGCTCGTAATAAAATTCCGCTTGAAATGCTAGAATTATATTTGGTCGCTTATATAACTTTATATCGTCTACATATTTGTCATAGGACATGTCATGAGTTTCAAAAAATAGCTGCTGCCCATATTTAGCCCTGCACTTTAAACAAACGTCAATATTATTATATTCGTCCCGTAAGCCTGGTCCTGCAAATACAATTGTTAGTTTCTTTATTTGACGAAAAATATGCAGGAAAAATTCCCAAGCTGACAAATAGTGTCTCTCCAAGGAGCCTCCGGTTATTATATGTATAACACTTTCTGGTCCGGTAACTTGATATGACATGCCTGTTTCCGCCATTACATGACACAGTGTAAGTGGTCCTGATGCGTAATCGGAACAAACATAATCTTGAAAAAGCCATGGCTCGTGTTCGTTACCAATACTACGTTTACAATCCATAAATCGACTAATAAATGAATCCATGCCTTTAATATCACGATCCAATTCGATAAACTTGCAAGATGTCAGTAGAATCGACGTACTTTTCAAGTGTCCGATATCTAGATTAACACTTATCATCAACGTAGAACAGTACTTTTTATGATTATTTTCAAACATTGCTGCATGAGCAACACAATAATTATGCGAATAGCACTTTGGGCAGGTGCGCAGATTAACCTGTCGATGACAAGTGTAACAAGATTTTGCGAATGTTATCATCTCCATTTCGTACACCTCTAGCTGACGTGACATTTTTTGTTGGATTAACTGTAGAAATAATAATCTCGACTGCACCCACTCATTCTGGTGTAATTCACGAGTGCGCCATTCGGCATCCTCTTTTAAATGTTTCTCTAGAGCTTCACAGATCTGCTTATGCTCCGGATAGTGTAACATCTTGTGATTCGTGCAACAGTACAAGATCATGTAACAATGATCACACGTTAGAAAATTGCCATTATCTCCTTTCTTACAAACGTGACATAAGTTCGGGTAGAAGAACTTATTATAACGATCCGGAGTTAATGGTCCACTATACCGCAGCAATTTTGATTCTACTTTAAACATGATGAAATTTTGATGTAATTGGCAATTACGAAACGTGATTTTTAATATAAGTTTAGAAATAATACACGATGCTCTCTCTCTCTCTCTCTCTCTCGACACTTTAGCCGAAATAATGATCTCTATATTACTATTTCTCTATAGATAATATATATATATACTCCGACGTACTGGTTACAAGTAATGTTTGCTTTTGATGCTTCTCACTGCTTTTAAAATTTCCTCCGTAGGCGATTGTTCGCAGGACACTAAAGCATGTATTACAAGCGCTTCTATGTCTCGGGATTTGTTGACAATCTGAATTGTGTTTGAACTGTATTTGAACATATAACGAACTACGAATATCCGTTATTAAGTAGAATGTTGAGAGAGAGAGAGAGAGAGAGAGAGAGAGAGAGAGAATAAATGTACATATCTAGAATAGAAATGTACATATCTAGATAGAAATGCGTGATAATCATGTTTCATCATAATATGATTGTCATATTGTAATTTCAACTTAATACCCTTTTCAAGTCCGTTACATGATAAACATGATATGAGCACAAGATGTACACAATGATATGATATACAAATATGTGCACGTTCTTGACTTGAATTTGATCAACGCTGTCAGATGAGATATTTTTCTAAGATTATCTTACGTCGATATATGAACGCATGCTGAGCGCTACATGACATCATTTCACTATTTTGGTGGAATTCCATCAAAATTTACTTTATAAAGTATAACTTATTCGTGTAAAGAAAAATATATGAAGTGGAGAGAGGAATTAGGCAAATTTTTAAATTAATTGCAAATTTTTAATTTATTGTTGCCAAAGAAATTTATTGCGTATTTAATATTTTTTTTCATCGGGGCTACATCAAACATATTCGCGACATATATGCATTTCTTCCCAATTCCTACCTTATGTTATTATAGATACATCCTGCGCTATATATAATGTATACTATCTTATAATTCGGATATTACATTATTTGATAAAATTATTATTTCGATATTACTTATAAATTATTTAGATGATCCAAAACTAATGTTCAACATTTCGGCAGCGTGTCCAGAAACTTAGTTCACGATGAAAATCGCAATAAGAGAATATCGGGGTAGGACATGATTTATCGCATCTTAGCACGTAACAAAATCGAATTGTTCCAAGTGATTTCTATAATATAGAATTACGGCCATCCGTATTGAAGAAAGCATAAAAAGCATTACGGTAAAATATAGTACCGGTTTCAATATCTCTCCATGGTCTTTTGGAAGAAAAGTGATTATATCTCACCTGTGTATATGGACAAAATATACCAGCAAGTTGTTTTAGAGTGTACACATTCTGCTTAAATTTACTCATCGACGAACTTGTTACAAGTAATGGACAGATTCGTTGCAGTGCTGTTAAAAGTTCTAGCATTATGAATTTCTGATAATGTTCGAATTGAAATGCTATAATTACATCTGGTGGCTTATACAACTTATGGTGAACATATTTGTGGTACAGCATGTCATGAGTTTCAAAATACAACTTCTGCTCATAAATGATTTTACATACAAGACAAATATCGATGTTATCACATTCATTTCGTAAGCCTGGCCCAATGAGTATAATTGTTAGTTCCTTTATTTCACGTAAAAGATGCAGAAGAAGTTCCCAAGCTGGCAAATAGTGCCTTTCCAAAAAGCTCCTAGTTATTATATGAACAACAAAGATTCTTTTTAGTTTCTTAAAGTAAATGAACGAATTCATATCCTGCATAACTTTGTACAATGTAAGTGGTCCTGATGTGTAATCGGAACAGATATAATCTTCAAAAGAGTAATCATCGGTAATGTTGTCAATATTTCTACTTCTCGGCATAAATTCATTAATAAATGAATTCATACTAGTGATATCCCCTTTTGCATCAAAGCATGCGGGGATTGTCAGTTTAATCGAGTAATTATTTAGATATCCGATGTCTAAACTGACACTTGTCATCAACCTAATGCAGTGCTCTTCATGCTTATTTTCAAATATTGCTTCATGGGCAACGCAATAGTTGTGCGAATAACATATTCGGCATGGGTGCAAATCAACCTGTTGATGACAAATATAACATGATTTTGCGAACATTATCATCTCTATTTCGTATAGTTCTAACTGACGTGACGTTTGTTGTTCGATTGAACGTAAAAATATTTTTCGTGAGCGGAACCACTCGTTCTGGTTTAATGTACGAGTGCGCCATTGAGGATCCTCTTCTAAATAATTTCTTAAAGCTCTGCAGAGCTGCTTATGCTCTTGATGATGCAATATTTTGTGCCTCGTACTACAGTACGAGATCATGTAGCATTGATCACATGTTATCAAATTGCCATTATCTTTCTCCTTGCATACGTGGCATAAGTTTGGATAAAAAAACTTGTTATAACGATCCGGCGTTAACGGTCCACGATATTTGCACAAACCATTTTGTTCACAAAACATGTCGAAATTTCGACGTAATTGGCTATTGCGAAGATGCGATTTTTAATATCAGTTTGGAAGTAATCTGCTGGACCCTTCTCTATATGTTAGATGAAATAATAAAATTGGCTATAGATAATACAACGTATACTACTAGGCGACTATTCGAAGGACACTAAAGTATGTATTTACGTGTGTCCCTATGCTTTGAGATTTGTTGACAATCAGAATTGTATTTGAAGATATAACGAGTTACAAAGTCACTAAGTCCGCTACTAAGTATAATATCGTGAATAAACATATTTGGAATTTTTAAAGAATTGAGACTTTATTATATATATCACGTATCACTTATGTCGTATAAAGGTGCAAGGATATTGTTACCTATATTTAACAATAATCGTTCATCGTGGTACTCGGAAGATCGATAAAAAGAAACAGCAGAGCAACGACGAACGGATTTAAAGCCGCTGCGAAACACTTCCAGCGGGATCCGAGGCGCGGTATTCAAAGCGGTACGACTCGCGAATCGGTGTGAAAAGATGAATCGAAAGTCCGAAGCGCCCTGACAATGTGAGAACGGAATTACGAGAGATTTCTGGCCCGCACGAGAGGCTGCACGTGCTGCTGCCCGGTAATTGCAGAAGGCGTACGTTCGTCCTTTGCGTGCGCGCTACGGCGCCGGCCTTGGCCGCTGCAGACGCGGGTGATTAAATGCATTTGTCAGGAGTTTATCGACACCATACTCCACACACTGGCGCGCGTGGCCTTCTCTGCTTCAATCGGTCCCGAGTGATCTCCGTCCGCCGACAGCCCGACGTCAGATTTCATCAGCGTCGAAACGTTGCCGAACTGTCGATTCGGGAACACTGCCGATTCAATCGCCGATAACGGTTGCGCGAGCGCGCTCGTATCGACGCGCATGAAATTTCTGACAAGGAACATCCTTCGCTTTAAGCGCTTCCTCCATTAAAAAGATATCGTAACCTCCGGTTACGCAGCTCGCAGAGATACGAGAGCCGGAGATACGAGATAAAATCGTCGATCGGCGCACTGACCCGAGTCGGAATTTCGGCGCTATGTTAAAGCTTTCGTCCCGCAACACAGTAGGAGCTGGAGATAGCAGAGATAGCAAAATGTCAGTTTTCATAATATAACCTACTTCTACTCTTGCGTCTTGATAATATAAATTTCCGTTTTCGCTGTTTTTGCGTCAAAACAGGGTTGTTGCGTTAGATTTGTCTACTCTCTAGCAGAAGATAGACGTGACTTTGCGCCTAGGATTCACACTAGGAGTAACTAGAACTCCAACTAGCCGAATCCTAGTTACTTTTGATCAGATTTACCATCGAAGGGAGAGAGTTCTATCTTCTTCTGGTACACAAATCTAAAGCAATATTTCCATTGGTCTTTCAGCTTGACGTTTACGTCTTACGTTTACGGTTACGCCTAATTCGCGTGCAAAAGCCTTAAAGTCCGTATCAGACTATGCATTGGAGATCGAGATTGAATAGACATTCGATCAATCAGTGCAAAAGTTCTCAATTTCGCTAAACTTGAGTTTAATGAATTTTGTCGAATTGATCGGCCAAATTTAATTTAACCCCAATCTCCAATGCGTAGCCCGATATGGGATTTAAAGAGCCAAAGTGGCATAAAAATCTCGACTCAGAGAGGTGCACGGTTTTTCAACGAAATTCGCGCTCGCACGATAAAACCCCACCGGGGGTTTTTGCTCACAGACTCCCGGGGTGTCAACGTCAACGTCATCTGACGTGACATCGTTATCCTCGCTCTTATCGGCGGCTCGCTTTCGACACACAGCTTAGGAGGAACGCGTAACCTACGCTCTGCCGCGTCCTCTTCTTTGTCAGCGGCGACGTCGCAATTATTTCGCTGCCACCGTACATGGTAACGTTAGCCGCTGCTGCGTCTCGGTGTATGTCCGACGGCGACCTTCGCTGAAACCGTGCTGTATCCGCCTCGTATATCTTATTTTCTTACGATATACCGCGGCGCGCAAGACCACTCTCGCCGACCTCCCGCTCGCACCGCGTGGTTCACTTTTTGCCGGGCTCCTCTCGACTACCGTGTAGTACAGCTCGCTATGTTCGAGGTCGAAGGTGCGCAGAGGAATATCGTCGTCGTCGAAGAGCGTGCGAACCGGAGGGAGGAGGATCATCGGGACTGCCGCGCGATACCCTCTCGAAATTGTATTTTCGGGTCAAGTCCCATTCGAAAAGCTAAAATGACAAACTGAGCCGTTCGAATTTGCGTGACTTTTCACTCGTGTGGAGTGAAATCATAAAAATAATCATCGATCACTCGAGATTGAAGAGCGAATCTGAATCCGACTCCGTCGTTACACGAACAAATTCACTCTGCTCGATCGGAAACCATCCACTCGTATCGATGAAGAAACCACTCGAAGTATCAACGAAACATTCACCCTCACGTAATTCCGCCGCTCGTAATTGCAAGAGTGAATGTCCCATTGAAACTGTTTCGTCTACAGCGTCGAATGAGTTTTCACACGTTCCGACTGAGACTTTTCGC